AAAAAAAAAATAATAATAATAAAAAAAAAGCAAAAGTGAAGGATAATTCGCGACCCAGGTCACATTGTGACCTTGGGTCGCAACCGGGCGCAAGACACTTTTTTGATTTTTTTTTTTTAATTCAATTATTGGTTGGATAGATAAGGTATGGGACAAATGTCCATTTCTAATTGGAAGCCATAATTTTATTTTGATAAGATAAGATAACTCAATTATTGAGTTTATCTTACATAAAAAAAATATATCAAAATTCGTATTTTTCCATTCTCTATAAATAGAGACCACTCTTGATATGTATAAATCACAACTGAAATTTCTCTCTTTTTACCCTTTTCTTAATCATAACTTATTAATTTTATCAACTCTTTTATTTTTCTTAATTTCCAACAATCCAAATTTTGAGTATTACCTTAATTCTCAAAATTTGTCAAACTCTGAAAATTTTCATAATTTCGAAAATTATTCACAAGAGCCATTTTCTCCTAATCTTACCCAATTTCCAGTTTCTGTAAATGCCCAACCCCCGCAAAACATCTCCGAAATCTATTTAAAATTGTGCAACAGACACGCACAAATCCTCAAAAATGAACTAAAAAGTGTTAGTTGGACTGTGGCGGAAGATCTTGTGCTAATGTCATCTTGGTGTTTCGTTAGCGAAGACAAAATGTGTGTCAGGAATCAAAAGGGTTCTTCATTATGGTCACGCATAGCTCAGCAAGCTCGATTGGAAAATCCGGAAGAAATTGGTGAAAGAAACTTGGATTCAATGAAAGGTCGTTATAATCGCCTTAATGAAAAAGAGCAAAATGAGCATGAAAGATGTTGAAAAAGAAGCTCATATAATTTATGAAGCTGGTGGTAGCAAGTTTACAGACTTGCATGTGTTTGAAGAAGTCATGCGAAAGCATCCCAAATGAGAATTAAAATTACATCGTGATTCGACTCGTTCACGCCCTGAAGATGCAGCGAGTAATGAAGAAAGCCATGGCAGTTCCAAATGATCAAGGACTACTGGAGATTGAGATCATTCAATTCCCTCAAATCCAGAAACTCCAGTTAATGATGGTTTTGTGATTCCCCATCCCGAAGGTAGAGATATGGCAAAAAAGAAAGGAAAAAAGGTAGCATCACAATCTTCTTCTATTCCTGATGAGTTCACTGCAGAAATTCGTGCACTAAGACTTACAAGAAAAAACGAATGTGATTTAATGACAAAAATATCGAACGATAGGATGGAGTTGGAACGCAAGAAAGAAGAAAGGAAGATTAGAAAAATGAATATGATGGTGTTGCATACGTTGTTGGCAAAAGACCACTTATCGCCGGAAGATGAAGAGATGAAACGTCATTTAACAACAATTTTATTTGGAAAGTCGATGTAATTTATTATCATGCAGCTTTCATTTATGTCATTTTAGTTATTCTGATGTAAGCTTTTCAATTCCTGTTATTCAAGTTATTCAATAAAAGTTTATTTAGTAAGTATTTTTCTCTAATCTTTTCAGAATTCACATGTTACTTCCATGATTTCTCTAATCTTTTTCAGCAATAATATGCTATTTGGAATATAGTGTATAGTTATTACTATCAAATAGCAACTTTACTTTGTGTTCCAAAATTCACATGCATTGAATTCGGATCAAATAGCAACTTTATACAATAAAATTCACATTCATTGAATACACATGCAACTTTTAGAAATAACATGCTATTTGGAATATAGTGTATGAGTTATTGAATATAGTGTATGAGTTATTAATAACAAAAAAGCAGCTTTACTTTGTGTTCCAAAATTCACATGCATTGAATTCGGATCTAATAGCAACTTTATTCAATAAAATTCACATTCATTGAATTCACATGCAACTTTTATTTATTTTACTTTACTTTTGCTTTTACTTTACTTTACTTTTCTTTATATCTACTTTACTTTACTTTTCTTTTACATTTGTTTTAATTTTATTTTAAGAACGAGTGATTCAACAAAATCAACAATTTGATCGTATTATGGAAGATATGGTTGTTTGTATTACAAATATGGTCATACAACCAACAAATCCCATTCCTAGAGGTAGAAGGCAAGTCATTGAGAGGCAATGAGAGAGAGGAGAGAAGAATGTGTTCAATGACTACTCAACTAAACAACTAATCATGGACTCATCTCGGAGTCCACTTTCATCTTCGACAATCCAACCTATCCTGAAGAGGTATTCCGTCGGAGATTTTGCATGCGTAAGAACCTTTCTCTTCGTATAGTGAGCGAAATCACCACCAACGACGAATATTTTAAACAAAGGCGTGATGCCACTGGTAGGCTGGGCATTTCACCATTGCGGAAATGTACTGCAGCCATAAGGGTGTCGGCCTATGGAACATCAGCGCATGCTGTTGATGAATACTTGCAAATAAGTGAAGCTGTAACGAGGGAATCTCTCATGAAATTTGTAGAAGGCGTCATTTCTAACTTCGGCGGCCAATACCTTAGAAGGCCTAATGAACAAGATTTGGCAAGAATACTTCATGCGAGGGAGCAACATGGATTCCCAAGAATGATGGAAAGTATTGACTGCATGCACTGGGGATGAAAAAAATTGTATTACAGCATGGGCTGGGCAATATGCAGGAAGAAGTGGAAAACCAACAATTATTTTGGAAACTGTTGCATCATATGACTTATGGTTATGGCATGCCCTTTTTGTAACACCAGGTTCGTGCAACGATATCAATGTACTTCACCAATCTCCTGTTTTTGATGATATTTTGGAAGGTCGTGCACCAGAAATTAGCTACGTTGTGAATGGCCAACAAAGAAATATGGGATATTACCTCACTGGTGGTCTATATCCTTCATAGGCTGCATTTGTTAAATCAAGTACTTCTCCGCAACTTCGAAAGCACAAGTTGTTTGCTCAGCACCAAGAGGCGGCTAGAAAATATGTTGAGCGTGCATTTGGTGTTCTACAAGCTCGTTTTGCATTTATCAAACGACCATGTCTAGTATGGGATTGCTTTTTTATGGGAAGAATTATGATGACTTGTATCATCAAGCACAATATGATAGTAGAAGATGAACATGACGCCTTCTTGAATTATTATGATTCTAAAAAATTTATGAACGATAGGCCTACAAACGGACGGAGGCAACAACGAAGAAATAGAAGAAATTGAGTAGAAGTAGAGGACGATGATATGCCTTTTCAATACTCGACTAAAAGAGTCACAAACCTATCTACATATACGACCAATAGGTCACAACTCCGAATTTTGCAATGGTAGTTGATGTGTAATTTCATTTGAAATGTTTGTAACTTGTTTAGTTTATTTCGTACTGAATTATAGAATTTCAATTTTTAATTATGTTTGTAATCTTTTTTGTAGTTGTATTTTAAAATATTAATTTTTTGAAATCAATATTTTTAATTATAAATTTTTTAGTTAATTTATCACAACTAAAACAATAACAAAAAATCTATTGTAGATAATATTTAATAAATAAAAATAAAATAAATAGTATGTTGGGTTGGACTGAGTTGGGTTAGGAATAAAGATATATAGATTGTTAAAAGTTGGGTTGTATATGTGGAGGAGAGAGAAATAATTTTTTATTATTGGGTTGGGTTGGGTTTGGTTGGGGATAAAGATAGTCTTACAGGCCTCGATATTATATTAAATAGTCATCTTATTTTTATTTTCCCGACAAAGTTCCCTACAATCTTTGAACAAGCTCGATTAAAGATGACCACTGAACACAATACTATTGGCGTTGTTAATACTGGACTACTATTGCTACTGCTGCAATTTCTCTTTCTCCTTCTACTAATGTTCCGTGAATCATTCTGATAAATCGAAAAAATTTAACGGCCTCACGCATTGGCAACAAAAGATACTGTTTTATCTTACTACGTTGAACATTGCGAGGTTCATGACGGAAAATCCTCCAAAGTTGGGGAAAATTCCAGTATATCAAACCGTTAATGCGCTTGAAGCATGGAATCACTCGAATTACTTATGTAGAAATTATGGGATGAACTGCTTGGCTGATACACTGTACACGTGTACAGTTCTATCAAAATAGCGAAGGAGCTGCGGGAGTCTTTGGATAAAAATACAAAACCGAAGACGCTGAGGCTAAGAAATTTCTTATAGGCCAGTTTTTGGACTACAAGATGGTTTACTCAAAGACAGAATCAGTCAAGTGCAAGAGCTACAAATAATCTTGCATGGTATCAATTACAAGGGAATGATGGTAAATGAAACTTTCCAGGTGGCTGTCATAATTGCAAAGCTTCCACCGAGCTGGAAAGATTTTAAAAATTATTTGTTACATAAGAAAAAAGAGATGACTATTGAAGAGCTCGTTGTTAGATTTTGAATTGAAGAAGACAACAAGGGCTACGACAATTAACTGGTTAGTCCTTCTTTGGCCAAGGCCAATGTTGTTGAGCATGGTGAAAGCTCACGTAAAAATAATAAGATAAAATACGGCAATATTGGCAAGGCAGTATGGGGCCAAAGAAACAAATTTTCAAGAAAAAAATTTCTGAAAATTGTTATAATTGTAATAAATCTGGCCCAAAACGCATCTGATTGCAGGTTACCAAATAAAATTCAAGAAGCCCACATGGTGGAAAACCTGGCCAAAGATGTTGATGAGATGCAACTCGCCGCAGTTATATCTGAGGTGAATCTGGTGGGCTCAAATCTACATGAATGGTGGATTGGTGCTATACGTCATGTTTGTTCAAACAAGGATTTGTTTAATGCCCTTGACGGGACGGTGAATGGAGAAAAACTCTTCATGCGATGTCTGACATCAAAAGAGTGGGGAAAGTGGTACTGAAAATGACATTTGCAAAAGAGTTTACTCTAAATAATGTTCTTTATGTACCAAAAATTCGTAAGGAACCTAGTGTCTGGTTCTTTGTTGATCAAACATGGTTTTTGTGTGGTGTTTGAATCACATAACGTCATTTTGACAAAAAATAGAGCATTTGTAGGGAATGGTGCATGAATCTTTTTTTTTTAATCGGTAAAAGTAAATTTATAGATCAAAATTGGTGTTCTAACGACCGACATACGACCTACAAAAGCGTAGTGGGCAGCCACATGCATGGCTCCTTACTGCAAGACATAAGTCTAAGAGAGCAACACTGCAGGTCAGTTGCTCACTCAAGTCTCAAGCTAAACAAAAGTGCAAAAAACCCCAAGCGTGTCGCAGTACGATGCTCGGCTCGACGCCCGTCTTCCCCTGCACGAATACTTGTCATACTCCAAGGACTTTCCTCTCGTATTCGGCAATGACATTCGAATACAACACAAAAATTGTACGATAAACATGGGTTTGTATCTTACGGATGACTAGACTCGGAGGTTGAGATTCACCTTAAAAAATCAACCTATTTCTCGCATTCTGAATGAAGTACACGGTTGCCGCAAGCGCCGCTTTCTTCAACTTGGTTTGCCAACTAGCCCCTCGAGCCTCCTTCTTAGTCCATTTAAGAGCACATTTGAGTGTCAATGGCCTATGACAGAGGCTAACCCACTCTCGGATCACCCTCCAAATTTCTGACCTAAAGGGGCACTCAAAAAAGACCCGATAATTCAAAAACACCTCCACAAAGAGAGCAAGTCGAGTCTACATCAAGGAACTTTAATCGTCCTTTGTACGAAGATGATTGGGCACTCCCAACCAAAAAATGAAGGAGTGTTTGGGGGTATTGCAAGGGCCGCAAACTACCCCCATCCATGGC